GCCAGCGTTTTCTTGTTGTTGTTGTTGTTTTTTTGTTGTTGTGTGAGGGGGGCAAACAACTGTTCTTTGTATGCATACAAACATATTTGTATGTATGCATATGTATATAGTAGCTGTTGTTGTTGTTGGTTATGTGATTGTTTGTTTGTTTGTTTGTATTTGTATTTTGTTGCTTTTGTTTTTTGTTGTAAATTTTGGTATGGCAGTAGCTGTTGCTGTAACTGTGATTGAGGCACTTTTTTCTTCCAAAAAATTTGTATGTATATGTTATAAGTATGTATTGTATGTACACATGTGTATGCATGTTCGGTAGGCCCTATTTATGCTTCTTCTTCCTCTTCATCATCATCTTCGACATCTTATACTTGTTAGATCTTGTGTCGCTCTTCTATGCAAAATGCAAAGAGTTCCGTGCACACATTTCGTGCTAATTTATTATAATTATTAACATTATTATTAATTTTGTTGTTTGTTTTTTTTTTTTTTTCAATATTCTTTCAACAATTGTTTTTCCTAAAATGTTGCTGATTGACTTATGCATGTAGTATATCGATCAGCGGTGAGATGATCGCGTGTCAATCAACGTCAATCAGTGTCTACAAACTACACAACGATTTGAGTATTGCTAACATATATTTATTATTGTATATTTCTTTTGCTTTTCATTTCTTTTTGTGTTCATTTTGAGATTGTACGTTGTCCATATATGCTTTTTAAAAGTTGTAGTTGTAGCTCTAGGGATTCTTGTTTTTTTGTTTTGAAATTCTTTTTGTTAATTTTCCTAATGTGAGTGTAACATTTGCGTCAAAAAGCTTACTATCAATTTTTTAAATTTAATTAATTTTTTGTGTGTGTTTATTCAACGTTATTTGTTGTTTAACTTTTACAATAGTTTTTGTTTAGTTTTTGATCGCATATTAATGTATCTACATACATACATATATGGTAATTACTTGCATATGTTTAGGCTTAACAGTGCTATAAAACGATTTATACATTACTTCTATTTGACTACGTTTGGGCTAAGTATTCGCAAAGCGGTCGGAACTGATCATTAATGCCTTGGAACAGACCGATTCCCAGATGGGATCTGATCGCATCAGATCAGATCAGAATAGATCAGATCAGATTAGAGGTATGGCAGTCGCAGTCGCATGCCTTACTATTATTTGATTTGGATCTCTTGATCTATATTCTTCTACCCTCTTTTCTATACACTCAGCTAATAATACTCATCTCGTTTTTCAAATGTTCTTCTCTCATTTTTTTTTAGTTTTTTTTTTTTTTTTTTTTTTTTGTATTGGCGTGGAAAATTCCACCTAACTACAGAGATTTCTTATCACTATGCATTACTACGTCTACGTGTTAGCTTCTTGGTTGCTGCTCAAATGGTATACACATGTATTATACAGATACACGCGGGCACGCATGAGCGGTGCGTAATCACGAGGGTCCAGGGTCCGGGTCTGGCCCAACTTTTCTACGCTCTCTCCCTAGCGAGAGCGTTATAGAAAACCCATTGTGGTGCTGCCCACGCGTCTCATGCACGGCGCATTGCGTTGACTTTTGGTTAATTAGTTAGTTTATCCTCCCTTATTATTCCTCTTTCCTCACACTTTTTTCTTTCAGTTAGTTTCCTAGCATATCTGCTTTTCTTTCTGAACTTAATATGTAAATATGTATTTGTATATTAATAGTGTATTTTTTTCTCTTTTTTTTTTGTAGAGCTCATTTGGGTTATTTGCTGTTGATGTTTTTCTTTTGGTTGTTTTGTTGTTTGTTTGCTTTCATTTATGGGTACTTTTTCTGTCAGAAAGATGTGGGATTGTGTGTACGAGTATGTGTGTGTGTTCGTGTCTGTGTTAGGGAGTTGGTGGCTGTAGGTTAGTTTAACATTACATATAAGTACTTGATACTTTATTGCAATTGTCAATTACACTTCAGTCTCTCGGATTGGTTCCGCCGGCTTTAAAATTACAAAAATTAATAACAAATATCCGATAAATACTTTTGAAACAAACAAAGTTAAATGCAGAAGCTTAATATTTTTGTGTCCACAATCCAAACGAATAGAAACAGAAAACGTTAAGGAAATGAAAACAAAATCGTTAAATGAAAACACAAAAACACAAAGAAAACGAAAACGAAAACAGATTCGGATGATGGAACCTTTTTCTTGGCATCTAGCTAAATAAAAACGCATTGCCTACTCGAAAAAATAATCAATTGCTCTCTAGACACCAAAAATGCAATTGAAAAATAAAGAAACAAAAGGCTAGATAGTGAATGTAAGTGAAACAAAACCAAAAACGAAATGAACAAATTTAATAAACCCTGAGAAAAAGAAAGAAAACGCACAGATCTTCTTTCTTTTTTCTTTTTAAACATATTCTTTCAGATGCGAATTTTGCGAGTCTTGGTCTTATGTAACATGTATTTTGAGAATGCGAGTCCCTAAGGCGAATTTCGGATCTGCATATCTTACGAGTAGATGATCTAAGGGAACGAGAAACGCGGCGTTCATCTCTCGTTTATCGCTCGTATGTCAAGTCCCCACAGTTTCCAGATGTTACAAGTACATACAAAATATAATTCTACGAAAGAATCGACGCACCAGATTTGCACAGCAAGAGGTTCCGTATTAACAATGAACTAACAAATGGGGGAAAGCCCCGAGCCAAATCAAATGCAACTAAACTCTAAAATGGGTAGCCACAGTGTTTGTAAACGGGAACTCACATAATATATCGAATACTTATGTATAGTATCTACATATGTGTAGTATATACGAGTAGGTTTGTCACGCACACAATTTCAGGCAGTTATTGCATTTACATATGTATGTATGTACATCTGTAACTGAACATACAGCTCTTAAATTGTAATTAAAACCACACATATTGACACGCACACACACGTCTAGCACATGTTATTGGGAGATCGGGACAGCTGGTAAATTTTTCATGAGTATATGTATGTATGTATGTATTATTTATGTACAATAGTTTCGATTCTTACTAAGTAGGTATACGTATTTTGGTGTCATCAAAAAAATATCCAACACTCTTATTTCAAGATCACATCTCCAAATATTTTTTAGAAGGCATTATTTGGTCAGGATATTGAACTCAAATGGGATGGATAAGTATTAAAATAGAACATTTAAAAATCGGTGTGTTAAACTATAAATTCATTGATTGCAATCATCCTTTACACATCACTAGCATACAACATAGTTTTTTAAAGTTATAGTTTTCATAATGAAAGGAAAAGCATCATCTATTTATTTGACATCCTTAACTAAGTTTATGATAATTCCATATAAAGAAATCAAATTTTGAAATAGCAGTGCTATTTGTTCAAATTGTATAACGTGGTGGCAACGCTAAATCACGTTTGAACTTAAAAATGGTAAGTCTGGCAACGCCACACTGATCTAAGTAATGAGTGAAGTTGAAATCACGCCTCCACCTTAAGGAATCATTTCCACTGGAGGGAACTATTGAGGATCGCATCATAGATCCGTCAATTAGGAATCAAATTCCTCGGACAACTGGAGCTATATGGCTTGGCTCCACAAAAAATCGATTACATGTACATACATATAAGGAAATTTAGTTTCCTAAGCTATTCATAGGAGTTTTTACGTGTATATGTACATATATATTTTAAGAAAATGATCTAACAGCGACTATTAAAACGACTGTCTGTAGTGTATTGTGAGTTACTTGGTGTAAGTGGGTTTTTAGCATACTTTTATGGGCCGATATATATAATAACAGGTATATATGTAGGAACTGTAAATAATTAGATAACAGTCGAGAGTGCTCGACTATGATTAAGCCCCTCGATCCCATAAGAAGCAACCTGATAACGAGTGCGTATATATGTAGGTAATATGGAGATGGGGACCTACTGTGCGTGGTGGTGGTGGTGGGGATTGGCTGATCGATTGGTGGTACCGGTTCCTTTATGTGTATAGCCCCTCCGGGGAGGAATAGGCGTTTCACAACGGACATACATATTAACACTTTCCGGTCCAAGCAAACAGAGCATATAGAGTATGTATAGTCGCTTCCACACTGAGGACGATGACACTCTCTCACGTGTCTCGCACTGGACACGCACACGCACACACACACATATATATATGCATCCCATATATACATATACATACACACACTTAGCTGTTATGCCAAATGGAAAACTTGTAGATGCGTACATTATGCATTATGTGTGCATGTCGGTATTTCAGTATGGCATAGTGAGGAATATTGTTTGATTAACATTTTCTAAATAGTATACATGAGCATTGATTGTAAAGAGTCACGAAAACGAAAGCGGAAATCAGGAATAATCGAAGGTGGAAATCAAAATGTAACTTATCTCAAGTAAATCGATAACGATCGGGAAATCAAAAGTAATCGAAATCAGAATTAAATTCCAAATGAAAGGCACGAAGAACTACTATGTACATTCATGTGAAAGAACACAATTATGTATGTATTTCAAAATCGGTAATTACATTATAATTTGCAATAATCATAATAATAATAAGAACAAACGGAAGGTACTTATCAAATTTCTATGCTACGCACACATATGCATATATTATATATATGTATATAAGTATAGATATATATATATGTATAATGGCACATATTGTGTATAATATCGTACCATACTTATACATAAATATGCATATGTAAATGGCAGAAAGTCTATAGAAAGGATGATAGACAGATATGGGCGGGTAGCAGTGGGATGGACGATGTGGGAAGTGGGGGAGTGTGGAAAATAGGAAGCATTGGATTTTGATGGCAGTTGTGAAGCGAGGCAGTTGGTTGGCTGGTTGGGGATGGTATGGGGGTGGCAGCTGGTAGATGATGGGTGGGGGGAGAGCGGTGGGTTGGGGTGGGGTGGTGTGGAATGGAGTGGTAGGGTACATAACAAAACACCGTCTAGTTGCCAATAAATAAAATGAAACACACATTTCTTACCGGTACTGAAATCTGGGCGTTAGTTGAGTATTTGGCGCGAATTATCAGTTTCAGATTTTGCAATATTCGATTTCGATAGCGATTGCGATGTATTCGATAGTTTTGTTTTTTGTTTGTATTTTTTTGTTGCATTTTACGTTTGCATATTTTGGTTTTTAATTTTTTATTGTTTTGTTGATTTTATGAGTTTCAGTTTGCAATTTATTATTCATTTTGTTTTATTTATGATTTATGATTGGTATATATATATATGTATATATTAATATATATATTTTTTTTCATTTTTTTTTTTTGTCAATCGATCGATCGGGATTGGTTTTAAGCATTTTAAAAGAAGGATGAAAAATATGAATTGAAAATTATCAATTTTTTTAATATTAGTTCAAAAAAGTAGTTGCAGTGAATGATGGATCGGATAAAAAATTGATTTAGCGATTTTGTTTGTGTGTGTATGTGTGTGTGTGGTTGTTGTGTGAGTGTGTTTCTTGTGTGTCGTTCCTTCATTCGAGACAATTGAGAATTGAGGCACGCAATTTAGACAAACAAATAAATAACATTTTAACATAGTAGATATGTATGTATGTATGTATGTATGTAGTAGTATCTATGTAGTAGTATCTATGCATGTGTTTGTGTGTTTAGTGTTGAGTGTTGTACATATATTAGTCGATTTTAGCAATATATGTATGTATGTAATGTTGTTGACTTTTCAGACTGTAGCTGTTCAGATCTTATGGAATGCGGTATGAGTTCGAGAGAGAGCGAGAGACTGATAGGAAAGAACGGAAATTGAAAATAGGAAACGGTTAATGGTAACGGAAACTGGAAACCGAGAGCAAACAATAACTGAAGGTGAATATTGTGAATATAAACGAAATACTTGTACATACGTGTCTATATAAAAAACAAATAGCTCATCAAATGACACAAAACAAAAAAATCATTGCGGAATATTGCGTTTTTCATGTAGAATATGTATGTATATGTACACACATATATATATACGAGTATATACATATATAGATGTATATATCTGTATGTATATATAAATATGGCACGTCTTTGGTGAAAGGAGCAACAAAGGAGGCGTGGGAGTTATGGAAAAGTAAAGTACACAACGCCGAGCAGAGAGCGCCTTTAGGTCTCCATTTGGAAATTGTATGTTTGTGTCTGTGTCTGTGCCTGTGTATATGTATATGTGTGTGTGTGTGTGTGTGAGCGTGAGTGTATGTTGTGTTTGTTTTTATCAGTGTACCGTAGAGCGATGATCGACGCGACCTGACCTTTGCAAAAAGATATTGTGGTGAAAGATTTCCCGACACACAAGCGTCAATAATCAGACGGATGGCCAAGTGTAATGGAAACGCCAGCTACTGGAATACTGGATGGAATACCTACCCACAATACCGCCCGTGAAAAGCTCAATGCTACAAATGGACGAAGCCTGCGGCTTGCCAAATGCATATACATATGAATGTTTGTGTAAAGTTTGATGCATTTTTGTTGTTGTTTAGAAATTACTTTAAGTAGCTATGGGTGATTAGTTGTTGTAGAGTTAGCTAGGGGTTTGTTGGTTTTTGAGTTGTTTTTGGTTCGGTTTGGTTTGGTTAGTAGTACGTACACATGTTGTATTGAAGACAGAGACATAGAGAGAGAGAGAGAGAGAGGGGGGTGTGGATGATGGCATGAGTTTTTACTAAAGCGTCGTCATATACATATGCACTTTTCTATGTTTCACGTACACTGGACATGTATTTCTATTTATTGTATTTGTATAAGCATTCGGGAAGAGTATTGAAGTGTTCAACTAGATACATAGGTAGTAGGTGTAAAACTTGTTGCGGTTTAACAGATTATAAGGATAGCGTAGGCAAAAATTCTAAGCACAGGTGAGAATCAATCAGAGTGAGACGAAGAGCAAAAGAGTGTGATTTATTATTTTGTTAAGGATAATTTTTTTTAGAATAATAAGTTTCGAGAAAATGGTTTGAAGTTAAGTGGAAGAGAGACAGACAGACAGAGAGAGAAAGAGAGACAGACATAGTTACAGATAGAGAGAGAAAGCTAGAGAGGAGAGAGAGAGAGAGAAAGCTAAAGAAGATGAGTGGCTTTTTTATTTAATTTTCACTTTTAGGTAAAATTCAAATCCAAATCCAATAAAATTTGCCAACTACAAACGTTAAACATTTTGCTAACTACTAAGAGTTCAAAAATTACAATAGAAAAACCAAAAGAAATTTCAATTGAAAGGACGGGACCCTAGCGATCTGTGTGCCAACAATAAAGCTTCTTTAATCGCGGCATATACATATACATACATACACGACCATGGCTCCCTAGACTGGACTTATCTTTATGTGTTTTGTGGTTCCTAAATGGGATTTCTAAGCGAAACTTCGTCTCAAATCTGAGGTGTATACGAGTATGTACCTGTTATTGAAATGATGGAACATTTCAGAAGCATTTTCGAAGGATTGCTTTACAAAACTAGTCAACCAATTTTCTTGAGCTTTAAATTGGATTAATGTCTAGCTTTAGAATTATTTATGGAGGAGATGGAGCAATTTTGATTGGAGAAATAGGACAGGGAGGTATGGTGGACGGGGAGATGGTACTACTCCCCTTAATTTGGCTCGGTGCTGAATGCTTGACTATTTAAGTAATTAAAGTAGCTTTTGGAAACACAAATGCTGTGCGTCGTGTGCCCGAGTAGTATGTATTTATGTATGTATATGCATACATATGTATAGTATATGAAATGCCCGTATATGTATATGCACACACAAAGTATGCTTTATTTTTCAACATAACTGCCACGCCTGTTCGCATTTATGGTATTTGTATTTGTTTCGACTTCTCAGTTTCTAAAGAAAGGGTATCGGATCGGTATTGATCACGTCCGTGCTTGTTCGTGTGCGCACACAACAGACTCAAACACATAAGCGCGTTTTGTATGTACTGTACTGTACTGAATGTATATCGAAACGTCACGTAAATGGATATATGAAGTAAGTCAAATATAACATAAATCGATATTTGTAAGTATATGCAAAAATACGATATAACCCAATGAAAGAAAATAGTAAATAAACAAGTAGATAAGTATATCTCGCACTGAATGCCAAATTCGAGACAAAAAATCCAAAATTCTCAACATATTATTGAATGAATCAATCAATGAACAAATTCTTTTAAGATATAGATAAGTAATAAGACTTCAAATAATATTCATTACGTTCCCAATTGATGGTTAAAGTATGTGAAAAACTCGCGAAGATTTAAAAAGCATTAGTTGAGACGATCCACGATCCTAAACAGCTAATAGTTTTGGCATCAGAGGCCGGTGTCATTATCTTTTGGGGGGCGGGCCGCCTAAGATGTTTTAGGACTTTTGTAAGTAAATTTGCCGCCTTCCCCCACCAGACGTTCTGACACTGATCTCAATCCGATGGCAATTCCGATGCTGTATATCTATATCGAGATCGAATCGTTAGCCAGTTACTTCTGCGGTCGTATGCCAATTCTTTCAAAACACGAATGTGACTCCGGCGCAATGGTTCAAAAAATAAATAAAACGTATTGTATGTATGTCGATCGAAAATCAAAATACATATGTAAATCTGTACAAGTACGCCTGGCCATATATCTATGTATGTACTATATGCCCAAGCGCACGAATACGCGCTGAAAACTCAAATGAAAGTCAAATAACAATGTATAAATTATAATACGATATAAATCAAAAAAGTAGGATAAAATAACAAATTTGTAATCGATATTCCATCCGTAATAGAAAAAATCTTTTTTTTTTTGTATTTTTTTTTTTACTCGTTGGGCTGAAAGGTGAGAGCGCACTTACTTGGGTTTGTAGGCGAGTTAGACCGCGTATCCACAGAATTTGGCCGGCTCGTGGCTTCTTGTCGGAGTCAATGGAATCGAAACGCTCCTCACCCAAGTTCATGGCATCAGTATATTCTTCCGGATGGCCACGACCCCATCTGGAAACATGTCAGTAAAATTGTATAAGCGTCGAGAGGGATGTGTGTATATATTTGTATTTATATGTGTGTGTGTGTGAGACAGTTTGTATCTTTGTAAGTTCTTTTTTTGTTTTTTGTTTTTGTTAGTTCAAAGTCAATTAGTTCCATTCCCATTCCCGTGCCCCATTTCAGCGTTAAATAGAGAAATATTTTAAAAGTTAATGGGTGTGGTTGATGCATAAGTTGTTTTGATGCCTTGAATGTATCGAAGATATGTAGATAGTTAAGTATATATGTACAAATTAATTATGCTAACTCTCCATTGATATGTGCACAGATAATCCAATAGCTGCACAATTATAGGAGTCTTTCTGTCCTATAACTGACTGCAGATAAGAATGTATGCATTGGAATGGAATGGCGTGGAATTGGGGTTTAAAATTATTAGGCACAAATACACACACTGTACATACATATCAATGATATGATTTGGACATTAAGACTAACGCTACACGGACACTAAAACTATCAGTATCACAGATTAGCAAAGGTAATTACATTAACAAATAGTTGTATTGATGGGTGCCTTTTTTTACACATGATAGAAACACATATCTGTACATTATTTAACAAAGTACCTAAAATATGAGAAATTTAATAAAGGACCAGAGACGCAGGCCATCAATATCACATCACTTTTATGCAGCAAATAAAAGTTTATTCTCGTACTCTTAAGCCATAACTTATGCCTACATACAGCACATACAATATAACAATGTAAATAGATTTATTAAAAAAAAACACCAGCAAAAAAAAAAAACACAATAATTATTATAATAATAATAACAAGGAATTGACACACGCGATTGTTTTAAACATTTCTTGTGTCGATCTGACTTATCGAACTAAAATACTGAATTAAAATACATGGGCATGTAAGGCATGTTTTACATATAAGTATCTAAATATCTTCGAAATACTCGGCATTGGCATAGGCATACTTAATATCTTATTGGTATTCTGTGTCTGTGCGAGATTTATGTGACAGTGCGATCCAAAAAAGCGTGTGCAAGTATGTATCGAGACCGAACACAAATTCCAAGAACATCTCAAGTCACATCGAAAGTTATTTTAGTTTTTTGGTTGGTTCTTTTGGAATCATGTGGCTAGCGAATTAATTCTTAAGTTTAAGGTGTGAAATAGGCAATAAATTAACACTATTTATAGTTTCTTTGTTTGTTATAAGATTAATTGCATAGAATATATTATATTGGATTGGAAAGCAGAGAAGGGGGCGTGGCAGCTGGTCGCCCAAGGTGCGTGCGTGCGTGCGAGCGAGCGATCGTGCGTTGTGCGTGCATTTTGTGTGTTTGTTTGTTTGGTTTGGTTTGTTTGTTTGTGTGCTTGGGAAGCGTTTGTAAACATGAAACATTTACTCACGATAATATTTTAGGCAACTTTCTTGTAGGCACTGAAGTGATTAATTGTCCCCAGACTAATGTACCAATTCCGAAGAATACGCACCAGAGCCATTGGTCAAGTGAGAGGGCTCTTGTTGAGAAAGCCATTTTACCATATTGGATGATTAAGACCTGTCACCAAAAAAGAACGAAATACTCGATGAATACGCTATTCAAAGGGACAGTATGCACTTAATAATAATAAAGCTTAGGAGGCATACCTGTGATATCATAGTGAATATCCAGATGGTGTAGAAAATGGGATTTGTAAATAGACCCTCAATTACGTTGCGCTGACCATGAATTTTGCGTGCATTGATCTCATTGAAGAGTGTCATCATAACGAACGTGTTGAAGATTATGGTGAAATGTTGAGTTGGGCCAGCGTTGAGCTCTTGTCCGCGACCAGATTCAATGTCCAAAATCATATCGCCTACAAAAACCGAAGACAACCAAATATGCAATTAAACGTATTGTGAATACCTTCAAAAGAGGAGGCGATGGTGGACGAAACTTACCTACGAAGAGCAAGCCAAAAATGATTACCAATTGATACAGAGCCTGACCCAAAATGTTTTTCATCATTGTGCGGGAAATCAGTGGTTTTGTGCGGCCATATGGCTTGCGGAGCAGTAGATCGGGTGTCGGCAACTCCGTGGCTAAAGCTAGGGAAGCGAGGGTGTCCATAATCAGGTTAACCCACAACATTTGCACCGCCTGTCAATGTAGAGAAGAGGAATGGTATGTTGTACATTAATTGGAGAATTGGAGAGCGTCTGGGTGTCAGAGAGCGTTGCACGTACCTTGAGAGGCGAATCCTGCACAGCGCATGCGCCAATAAATGCGACAATCACGGCTACTACATTAACTGTTAACTGAAACTGTAAGAACTTGGCTATCGAATCGTACACATTGCGACCCCACATAACGGCTTTAACAATGCTGCTGAAATTGTCATCGGTGAGAATAATGTCGGAAGCCTCCTTGGCAACATCAGTGCCAGCAATGCCCATGGCAAAGCCAACATCGGCTTTCTTTAGAGCGGGTCCGTCGTTGGTGCCGTCGCCAGTTACAGCCACGACCTCGCGATTATCGCTAACCATACTGTCAATTATGCCTAAAATATAAATTGCGAGTAACAATTAAACACCACCGCATTCCCTATATTTAGAAGATTATTGAATTTCTTCCCCACCTTTAACCAAAGTGTACTTGTCGGTAGGAGATGAACGGGCCAATACACGCAGCTTGGGCCAGACCTTGTCAATAAGATGTTGCTGAATCTGTAAACAAAAAGGATTGTTTATAAAATTATACAAGTATATATGCATATGTATATATGTATATAGCCTTAGGCAGTGTTTACTCACATCGCCATTGCTGTCACGAATGCGTCGGTTGAATTCTTTGCCCTCCAGTATCAAGAAGTCATCGTTGGGTCGCAGAATACCACACTTGCTGGCAATGGAACGGGCCGTGTTGATATTATCACCAGTAACCATACGCACAGTAATGCCGGCACGCTGGCACTTGCGGATAGCATCGGGTACCTCGGGGCGCACTGGATCCTCAATTCCGACAACGCACAGACAGGTTAGGTTCGTCATAATGTTCTCTTCATCATCCCAATTGGGCTCGCCGTCGATGTGCACCTCATTGAGAGCCGCCTTGCCGGGCACAAAATCACGATAAGCCACCGAAATGGTGCGCAGGCCATCACATGCCATTGGCTCGATCACTTCGCGTATAAGACGCTCTTGCATATCACGTGTAAACTTCTCCAGAGTTCCTTCGTGGCCATAGATGAAGGAGCATCTTGAAATGATAAATCGAATATACATATCGTACAAATTATTATTATATTATTGACACTCACTTCTTCATGATGATCTCCGATGCACCTTTGGTGTAGAGCCGATAGCCACCGTTCGGTCTAGGAATAACCGTACCCATGCTTTTACGCACCGAATTGAATGTGTAGACGCGTGTGAACTTATCCTCGGGAATCTCATCTCGAATCGATTGATACTTAACACCCAGAGCCTGGACAAAGCCCAGCAGCGCGCACTCGGTCTTGTTGCCCACCTGTACCGGCAAATCACCGGGATTTGGACACTGCGAGACGGATAGTGAAAGGTTTCTTAAACGAACTTCTCAATTCAACTTGATTCGGACGCATACCATTATATTCGAGGTGTAGGCGGAGTTCACTGATATGCCCATGGTGATCAGATTGCCCACGTGCTGTGGTATGTCAGTAAGTGTTGGCAGAACCTTGCACAATTTCTCGCAGATATACGATTGCACAACGGTCATACGGTTGGTCGTAAGTGTACCAGTCTTATCAGAGCAAATGGCAGTGGCATTACCCATCGTTTCGCAGGCGTCCAAATGGCGCACCAAGTTGTTGTCCTTCATCATTTTCTGTCGACAGGAATAGAGTTTTAAGTTAGGAGATTGTAGGCGGTTGAGGAGAGAGAGGGCTGTGAGAGAATGAGAGTCAAGTCAGTCCACTTACCTTAACCGAATAGGCTAGAGATAGTGTTACGGCTAGCGGCAGGCCCTCGGGTACCGCCACCACTAATACTGTGACACCAATAATCAAATGCTTCACAAGGTTATTGGCGTATGTGTTCTTCCATGGTCTGTCATCGATCACAAAGGTCTTGATGCAGAACTGTATTATCAAAATAATGACCGTTAGCACGGCAATGGTGGAGCCTGCATAACCAATTTGTATTGCCAGCTTTGTCAGTTTCGCCTGCAGCACAGATTTCTCCTTCTTGTGTCCCGTTTCAGCGGTTGATGTCGATGGTTGCTGAACATGATTGCCATCCGATTCCGATTTGATAACCTCGCTCTGCGTCGTCTGTGGCGGATGTGCCGCGGCTTTCATTGGGGTGCGGCCATCGTTCTCACCTGCATTGTCCGCAAATCAGTATCACATTGTAGTTTTTAGTTTCTCTGTTTTTTCTTTTTTACTTTTCACTTTTAGTTATAGTTATGGTTTTCATTCAATTGGTTACGAACGCATTAGCACGTTCCATTAACTGATTATAATACATTGTCTGTACATCTACATATATCTAGAAAGAGTGCCCTCTCACCCCCTGATTTATAGATATATACAAATATATACATGAATAAACAAATAAAAAAAATTAAAAAAAACTGTACAAAGATTCAAAATCCATAATGCGTCTTTTGAAACCCCATTGCTGAAACAAGAAGTGGTTATTGTTTCTTTTTTTTTTTTTTTTTTTGGTTTAAACTGTACGATTACGACATTAACCTTTCATTTCATTTACCCCATATATCGATACACAATCTTCTTCAATCATTCTTCAACTGAAAACTATACAAACAATTACCCCGACGATCCCCCGATTATAACAGCTAGAGTTCAACAAACACATAAACTGAAACAAATTATTCACCTGTCAAGCTTTTGCTCTTTTGCTTGCTCGCCTTTTTAGCTTCTGATCATTGGGAATTCAAATTCATTTTTATGTTGGTTGATTCAATCAATGTTCCGTTTTGTTTTAGTGATTGGTTTTCGGTCAATTTCGGGTAAGTTATACGATTGGATTTTAATTTGTTTATTTGATTTGTTTTTCATTTTTTGGTTTTTTTGTTGTTGTTTTGGTGTTTGGTGGTGGTAGAGTGGTTTTGATTGATTGGTTGGTTGTTTGATTGAGGTAGATGAAGGAGTTCAGTGATGGATCAATCAATTCAATTCACATCATGCAACACGTATGACAATTGGAATATGGAAAAATAAAAATAAAAACAAAAACAATATAATTATAGATTATTGATTGCAATACATTTAATAATTAATTGTGTGGCTGGCTCATAATCCTTTTTTCTTTTTTAAGTACCCAAAAAACAGAAGAACAGAAGATTAAAGAACTGCATTGTTGCTAAGCGCTAAGCAGAACACTTGGATTGCCGAATCGGCTGGCACTATATGTGCGTATAAGATCGGCAGATACACGTATATAGAACGTTGTTGGGTGGCCGAGCCACGAGTAGTCCTCTTGCCAGTATATCTTTGCAGAATAGAAGCCGCATTTTGTTAGAGAGATAGCATGATCTACTAAGTACTAAGTATACAGCATGTAGTTACAAAATTCAAAGCAAGTGATTTTCAATAGATTGGGATTTTGAGGATATATAAAAATGGGGTTGAAAACAGTGCCCAAAGAATTAGTCTACAAACATATATATATGTATTAGTGTGGGGGGACAGCGTCATAATGCTGGGCTGGGCTAGACTGGCTGGCTAGCAGACTAAATAATTGGGTAGCTGGCTTCTTATTATACGAAACGGATAATGTAAGTTTGAGTGTACAGAGGAAAGTTTCGGGTCGTTGTGGGTCGTTTGTGAGGGTGTGGTCGTCGTTGCTATTTAATTGAAATGACATAATTACCTTTCTTCATCTTCTTAATTTCCGCTTCCTGTTCATCGACGGCGGCGCCAAGCAGAGTGAAAATAATGCCAGCTTGCGAGTTGACACCCACGGCTGTCACAATCATTTTGCCGCTTCCTTCCATAACGTGGGTGCCGGATAGAACCATGGGATCGACATCGGTACCCTTTTTCACATGATCAGACTCGCCAGTTAGCGAAGACTCGTCCACCTGGTAAAGATGAGCAATCAAATCATATCAGGATTTGTAATATTACATCTTAAATAATGAATGGATCGTACGACAACGCACCTTTAAATCGTTGCTTTGTATAAGGCAGCCATCAGCGGGCAAAAGGTCGCCGTACTTGATCTGGGCAATATCACCCACAAGAATGTCACCAACGGAAATTTGGCACACCTCGCCGCCGCGTATAACGGAAAACTTGTGCTCACCCTCGATGCGGCTCTGAAGGCCGCGGAATTGTCGTTCCTTTGAATAATCATTGAACGCTGTAACTAGCACAACTACAATGACCGAAATAAGGATAGCCAGACCCTCGATCCAACCATGGTGTTCGTCCTCCTCTTGAAGTAAAGCTGAAAAATGCAAAGTGAAAAGGTAATGTGGTGAGGGATTCAAATGGGGAGACGGTTTATATTTTGGTTACTCACGTGCATCCTCGTCGGCGGGTTTGTAAAATGATAAACCAAGTGATACTAATGCAGCTACCTCTAAAATAATAAGTGTTACATCTTGAAGCGCCTCCCAGACTAGTGTTAGAAATGTTTTTGGTGGCTTCGGTGGTATTACATTCGAGCCGAATGTCTCACGTCTGTGCTCCTCATCAGCTTTGGACCCACTTAGGCCTACGGGTGGGAAATGAAAACAAACTCAATGTCGATCCAAAATGAAAATATCCTTTCAGATGGGATGGGAATTACCTTCGTTCGGAGATGTGTATAACTTCTTGCATATCTCATGAATACCACCGAATTCACTTATCTTCGCTACACCTTCCCTGCCACGGTGCTCCATGAGCTCTCGTAATTGTTTAAGAGAAATCCCATATTGCGCCGGTCTTCCATCGATTGTGGCCATTTGTTATAATATAATCTGAAAGTGTAAAAATGCAATTGGATGCATCAGTAAACTCATATAATAGACCTTTGTGTATCTGTTTGTGGGTGTGTGTGTGTGTATGTGTGTGTGTAAACTTTATGGATTTTGCATGAACAAAACGTAAAAATAAAACGAACTCAATAACAATAAATAATAATAATAGAAGCTCCTCTTGATGCAGCAATATGCAAAAATGTAGATAATGCAAGACCTGACCTTATAGCTAGACTATAGCTATAGCCTGCAGCTGGATGTCTATTATTTGGTTTGTATAGGTTTGTATATACGGGAACGCAATCGCAGTATATGAAATGCTTGTCGCTGAAACTAAGGCATGATTCGCATATGGCATCTCTGCCTGTTCGCCTGCTCGCCTCCGATTCTATCTCTTCCTCTGCCGCCTCTACTGAATGCCTGAATGCCGCCTCCCTGTGTGTAAAGCCCATTTGAGAAACTCATATGTATATAATTAGACGCGTTCGTCTGTGTCTCTACTTTTTGTGTCTGCGTGATAGTCTGTCCATCTGTCCATTTGTCTACCAGCCCCTGCCTGCCCGCCTTCCTGTCTGCCCACCACTTCGTTCCCCCTTTCTTTCTTTAATTCTTTCTTTCTTTCTTTCTTTCTGGCCAGCCGGATATTTTTTCGTTCGAATGTGTGTGTGTCCTAATGGTGCTGATGCTGATGCTGGTGCTGGTGCTGGTACTGGTGCTAATGCCGATGCCGATTCCGATGCGATGCTGTGAGAAACTCTCACCGAGTCTCGCAGTATTTAGATTTTTCAGCTATCGTGCGTATAGAAGACGCGCCGGTTGGTTGGTTGGTTGGCTGGCTGGCTGGCTGGGCAGACACACACACCTAATATTTGCATTGAACAAAAAAATATTTCGAAAATAAATCAACAAATTCGCCTGGGCAAATATACGTATACGTAGTTATACTATATGTACATATGTATGTATGCGGCTGGCTAGTTGGCTGGCTGGCTGGCTGGCTTTTATCTCAGAGCGTCGTCGCCGTCGTCGTCTTCATCGTCTAGCAACCAAAACCAAAATGCTCACGCCTCACGGGTGGCGAGCACGAGACAACGACGTCAGCAAATTGGCCAAGAAGCAATAAGTAAGGGGGCGCAGGGGTCAAGGCATCAATTGGACAGCCTCATATGGGGAAGGAGAAGGTGGGAGGGCGCGAGAGAGAGTAGGCTTTTAGTAAAAGAATATGATTATTTTGGCTAATCAATTTCAATTTATATAGTCTAGTATATATATAAGAATTAATTGCAGCAATGCCTGCTACTATATACATAATATTGTAGAACTGATTGATCTATGATCGTGGATTTGACTTAGACTTGTCTTTTAATCACTTTCTTTTGCCCCGATGATCACATAGTAACTGATCTTAACTGATTTGTCCATTGTTTAAAAAGCATGATCGGTATTTGGCAACGATTTGGAAGCTAAACAAAATTAGAATGAGTGCTCGCTTGTGTAGAAAATAAAAATTGTACCGAATATTATAGCTGATCAGTGATCACTGGAGGCGATCAATGGAATTTGGCCAATGGAGCCAGGTAGGCATTGATATGCATAAACAAAAGCCTGGTCGGCTGACGTACATGGCATTGTACTAGTCACTGGTCTCTAGATGATAGTCTATGTTCTAGTCTTTGTAACCATTCTATTTTTATCGGTACTCTCTCTCCATTGCTCTTCTTGTAAACATTACACACACACACACACACACACACACACACATAAACACACAAGCACACACATTATTGCCCCTGAAGAACAATCTAAGGAGATATTAGACGCGCTGAGACTGAGCGAGCGCATTGGGAAATGGAGAGAGTGACAGAGACGGAGGCAGAGAGAAGCAGAGAGAGTAGAAAAACTAATTAATTAGTCAAATGATGTGTATTAAAGTCCTTCTACTACACACAAAGATAGCTATAAAGATGCCCGCTGAACCCCAAGCACCTTCAACTTGGAAATATTCACACGCACATAGTACATTATTTGTGTATGCGGTATGGTTCGGTTTTGTATGGTATGGTATGGTTTGGTATGGTATGGTATGCTACGGTTTGGTACACAAGTACATAAAACACACTAAATATATTAAAGCTTTTTGCGACCGACGCTGGCGACTTTGGCGAGCGAACGAGCATGAGAATACGAGTATACGAGTATGTTCGCAATGTATCTAAATATAGCGGCTTCACCTGAATTCCACAAACCGTCCCAAACGTCCCAAATGTCCCAAACTATCTGCGATGGCTGCCCTTCAAAGCAGGAGGGAATATGCTGTCTTTATACGAGTATATACATACATACATATATATATATATATATTATACATGCATATATGTAGATATGTATGTAGATTTTGTAGTTATGCTAAGCTTTGGTCTGGTCCTTAACGGCACGGAAGCACGGAACCACTCAACTAGCTGCCTGCCCGAAAAGACGTCCAAGCGAAAACTAATTACCATGCACTGCATGCCAAGTTGTTTTTATTGGTCAGTCAGTTGGGTTAGTTAATAAGTAGGGACGTTTTATGTTAGTCAAGATAAGTGTTCTTTGCGGTCTTTATGTTCGTTTATGACGACAGCACCCACAATCTTCGGGACGTCGCGACGATACCGCAGTATGGCGTCATAGACGACTTATCAGAGCCGGTGAGGCAATCTTTCTCTGTTTGCATGGCGGTGGCGGCTGCGGGTATATGTAGTATATACTATAAATCTCGCAAAATGTAGATGGGACCGGTTTGCGGTACTTGTCAATGCTAAAATTTATGCGTTGTCAAAACGCCAGAAAGCCCGCTATCGTAATTCCATATTGTGAATACATATGTGATATGTGTATATTTGATTCAAATACTGATTGCAGCTCGAGAAAATCGTCATTCCTAGATAAGGACTTCAAGAGTTATACTTGTATGTATGTACACGTGTAGTACTCGCACTATGTTGTTCTGACTCTGTCCACCAGCGTTCCCATATAATCATACAATTATTATTGTTATTGCAAAAGCGTATAATTGTAGAATATGTGTATGTACAAACATATGTATATACTAGATACAGGCATATAATACAAGGTCTTTCAATCGTTTGCCATAGCGCATGCGAAATCAAGGCCTATACACACATATCGTACATACATACACACACACAATATGTACATATATTCTCTGTACAATTGTACATTTGTTTGTTTGTTTGTTTGGCTAGTGTAGTGCAGTTTGGCGTCTGGTACTCATAAACATGTCGATACAAATACTGGTAATGACCAATGGCAACCAAATCGTACGGCATTAGCCAGCCAAGGTAGTGACGTCAAAGTAAGCAAAACAAAAAAAGGAAAAAAAAGCCACAATAATAATCAAAAATCTTTGTGTAGATAGATATAGTATGTACTATATGTCCATATGTGGCATATCTTTTACGTAACGCATTAATAAAACGGGAAAGGTGTTTAGTAGTTTGGAGAAACCAACAAATTTAAAACGTAGACGATTATCTTAAAACTCACTCAGCACGTAAACAACTGAGAATGCAATATCTGGGAAATAATGAGCAACTCACTCTACTCAATGTTTTTATTAAGTCTACAATAATTACTGAGCAATGTTTCTCATCATTATTATTATTTTTTTATTAAGATAAAATTATATCTGATCTAGTCATCATTCTTCTCAGAATACTACAGAACGAGCACAGGCGAGTCATGCTTGAGCAACCATTTCGGTGCATATGGAGTCTACGAACAGCAAATGTTATTGGATTACTGTCACAACTATGACATATTTGATAAGCGCCCCATTGCGTGCCAATAAAACGATTCCAACATATTCGACGATCCAATCTGGCACGTGCTTGCACTCCACATGCCGGCAAATATTAGCCCATAATATTTTATTTGCTTGTATATATGGATAATAATAACAAACAATCAATATTTTCAATTGGTGGGGTTTGGTGATTTACGAAATTTCCGAAAAATTTTTATGATAATTTTCTGTTAATTTGATCGGTAATACTATATAAAACATTCCTGTTGTGTTGTTCAGACATTTTTCAGTTACATTTATATTTACATATACTCGTACACTTCACTGAAAAGTGAAAAGAGTACATTGCTTTGGGCGTGTGCGGTTTTTAATACCTAGAAGAATTAATGGTAGATCCAATATTATGGCTATATACTCGCTTATGACGATAAGTACGCTTGCCTTCAGTTATGGAGCAATTATTGATATATTTGATCGAATTGTTTGGCCATTATATCCTATGTTTTTATGAGAAGTTCTATTTTACTCATCAAAATATTGGGCACAAATTTTGGAACAAGCTTAACTTTGTTTGTATAGAAAGATTTGGAAGCAAAAAGTACACGAAAGATATGTAGTTTATGATCATAGAGGGAATATCGCTATGCAGTGAGAATTGAACTAAATTAGTATATTCGTATGTCCCGAAAGGGTTTGACTCAAAATTACCATTATACTGCTATTTATTAATAATTCCCAAGAGGTCATTCTACCATTGTGTGCTATTAATACGAGCTGTGGGCGCTTGATTTATAAGCGTGCTGTGCTTTGTAAAATTCTACCACGTACAATGAGAATTGGTTAGTGTGGGTGTTGATTGGAAACTAACAAATAATTTAATATGCAATGCGGGTGCGATAAATGAAAAAAGTAGGCTCATGAGTCAAATTAGAAACACGCTAGACGTAACATGTCCTTAAGTGCTTCAAAGCCTTAGGCCTTGGTAGTTCCGTGGGAACAATTCTTGGGCAATGTTTCCAAAACTTTGTAATACTTTTGCCATACAGTTCGTTGAGTGTACTTTGTTCATGGAAAGTCTTAGTTGACGCCCACACACTTATGTATGTACAGATATCTGTTACAAAGTTTGTTTATTGTTTTTTCTTTTTGTAAATCCAAACGGCTGCTTGTGTTCTCAATG